ATCAGTACTAGTAATCCGTAATGGTGAGCACAGAAATGAAAATAAGTCATACCCGTATTGGTTTGTGGGAAAAACAGTAAACTCTACTTATATTTTCATCACATCCAGTCTGTGGTGTAAACAGATGATTTGTTCTGTTATTGTACCTTTTTTAGCTTCTCAGCAGCAGATCCAGAGCGAATGGCCTCCAGCATTGCTTCTCTGGCCATAGCAGGGTTCATGGCTGAGCTAACACTTGGACGTCCAACAGGGTTCGGTTTACCCTGGGACAAATGAGGGGGAGGAGGTGGTGCTGCTGGTAGTGGTGCGGTACAGACAGTAGTTGAAGTGGCCGAGGCAGAAGAAGGGGAGGGAGAGGATGGACTTTCTGAGATGCTCTCCTTCAGTGATGCTGTCTTCCTGAACATGTCCAGTTCATCAGCTGCCTCACATTTGGTCTGGGAGAAACAAAGAGCAGAGAAAAGACAATAGACACAAAAGCATGGGTAAGAGGCCAGCTGCTTCAATAAAGTGTATGTGCAGCGATACCCTGAGCTCTGTTATTATGACTGTGGCAGTCGATAATTTATATGGACCAGAACTTTACTTGACAGAATTTTCAATGCTGTTTTTGAGATACCTTTCTAGGTTAACTGTTAATTACCTTTGAAAAGTTTGAAAGTGTGTCCAATCCCAGTTAACAGGCACATATTTTTAAATATAATTATAAATACATTTAAAATATAAATTATATATTTACATAATTTATATATATATATATTGAAATTTGACTTGACGCTATATAAGATTTGGTCTCTAAGACGTTTTTATAATAATTTCCCTAATCAGACTATGATTAAAAAAAAAAAACATTTTCATGTAATATAATAATGTAATGTCACTTTTCTCTAGTTATCTCTTCCATTAACACATTTCTTTTGAGAAGTGTTTTGAGAACAGTTATGTGACTCATTTAGTCAAGCAACATTCCAGAAATTTCAAATCTGGTGAGGAACCCCCAGAATAGGACCACAGATGTTTCAGCTGTAGCAGCATGATTTCTGCCCTTTTACTGCACAGGTCACAGTCAACACACATGGATGGAAATAGGCTCACATGCTTCCATAATGTGCTGTAAGGTCGGCTTTGGAGATGCAACTGAAGTGTAATAGGAAGAAATCTCTGTTTTATTTCACATTACAAGTTTGGTCATCAGATGAAGCTTGCAATTATTTTCAAAAGGACAATTATATTCCATTTTATTTTTATCTTATATTTTTGCATGGATAAGTATTCATCTTTAAGTTTTATTTTTAGTATAGTGGGTATCGTGAGTGTCCTGAATCAGAGACTATTCTCTTCCAGCCCCTTCCCTTTGGCTGTCATATTTTTATACAGTACGAATCATTACCTTCCTCAGACGGTCTGAGCTACTTTGGGCCCTAATGGCAGCCAGAAGAGCAGACCTTTCATTCTCATCTTCAACATCAGGATGCTTTTTCATACAACTGGAACCTGAAGTTGAAATCTAACGAACAGACACAAAAAGGGACATCAGAATAATGTCTAACACTTTCATGACTTGTTCTATTGCATGTCACTTGTAATGATATCTTGAGTATGTTAGAGAGAAAAAGCATGGTTTTAAAGAATGCTCCCAAAGCTTGAATAACCTGGCTGTATTTTAAAATGACAAGGACAGAAAGGCTCAGTCTTTATGAGACAAATGTCTTTTCCAGCTGACAGTACTCAGTGACCTTGAATAACAGCACTATGAGGTGAGAACTGCAGCATTTCTTCTTTAAGAACTGTGTGTTTCTATAATTGGTAGTGAGGTCTTTTTTTAAACCTTATCCCATATTTCTCTCCTCTCATGCACTGTTCCACGTCTCACCTTCTTGAGTCTGTCCTTGCCTCCCCCCGTCTGGATCGCCTCCATCAGACTGCTGTGCAGAGACGTTTCCTTCTCTACAGATCTACAAATCACTGGCCTGAACTTTTTAATTGGCCCAAACACTGTCACTGTCTGTGATATACAGTTGTCAGACACTGTGACAGAAGGCTGCGATCTATCATCTGGTGTTATACGATTGGCTACCTTGATAGTGTCTTTTGTGTCCTGCAGAAAAGGTGGTGCAGTATAAGTACATACTACATTGTACACAGAATATTAATATAGTGGATTCTAGTTTACTTACATTTAAGGCAGTGTTCTGAGAGGCAGTGTGTGGTTGAACAGGAGAGTGAGTTGAGCTGCTCGGTGCAGCCTTGGCGCTTCTGAGACCAATACGTCTAATATTGTCTCTGTCATTGTTGGCGGTCACTTCTATTTGGTTCAGGCCATTATAATGACTCTGCTTATTCTTGACAGTTTCTGTTTCCAGTGTGAATACGCTTTCTTTTGAGGATCCAGCACAAGTTCTAAATATTCCTCTTTCTGCATTCAATTCTTTAAAATCTCTCTGGCCATCTGACATATACTCTGGGTAACTTATGGACCTTTTGGAACAAGGAGGGTCGGGTTTAGAAGTAGAGTCACTCTGCTTATTATCTGACTGGGAAGACTGGTGTGGATTTACTTGTATAGACCGTGCAGATCTCTGGACGACAGTGCTCTGATTTTTCACAGAAACAGAGAAGTCAGAGACAGGACGGACAGGGTTTGGTTTAGCAGTTGGTTGTGGGGTGTATTTATTGATGGCAGACGCTACATAATGACTTGACGTTCGCTTCGCTGGTTTGAGAAAAGACAGGTCTCTGTTCAGGTCTGGGAGGTGTGCAGCTGGAAGAAGAGATTTATTACTTGGCTGCTGGATATTTTTGGACACTGTCGTCTTGCCTTCCACCTTTAACTCCTTTGCAACATGGATGTCATTTGTTGATACTTTAGTTTCTTCTTTAACAGTATCTGCAGGTTTGACTCTCTCTGTGGGTTTATAAGCCACACTTTTTGTTGTTGCTGTCTGATGGTGTTCCGTATTGTTATTCCTCCATGTCTTGTCTGAACTTATAATTAGTGTACTTCTTGGTTCATCCGTGATTTCCTTGGTTTTATTCAACTTACTTTTGCTGGGAGCCACTAAACTTTCTTGCCTTTCATGACATACACTCCAAAAAGCTTTGGCTTTTCCAAGGAGAGGAGTTTGCTCGTTGCCATTATTTTCAAATCCCAATAAACCACCAAAATGTTCTGTATTTGTTCCAACTTTAACCATATTTCCTTGATCATCGATCTTAATGGCACCTTTATTTTCTGTGACTAATGAGTTTTCTGTATCATCATGAATAACAGAAGGTTTTGGAGGAACCACAGTGAAAGTTTTCATACCAAAGCGTGAGGAAACATTTTGAGTGATTTTACTGTGTGACTCTTTGACTCTTTCTGTTATCTGGCTTTCTAGTGGTAGAACTGGTTTTCTCTCTTGAGAGTACTGAACATCGCTTTTGATACCATCAGGTCTGCTGTTCCTTCTTTTGCTGTGTTTCTGCCTGTCAACATGAGATTTCATTAGTGATTCTGAGCCTCCTTTATCCTCTTTCACACTCTTTGAATCAGTCCTGGCTTTGCTTTTTATCTCTAATATCTTATCTTCCTCTTTATCAACACTAGACTTGTTCAGTGGTGAGTTCCCATGCTGCTTGAGTTGAGGTGGCTGCTTAGTAGTTTTCTTTTTTTTGCTGCTATCATTAGCTGTGTGAGCATTGTTGTTCTTATTCTTTAGTTCTGAGGTGAGCTTGTGACTAAACTCTGGACCTGTTTAAAAAAAGGGAAAACAGAGAAAAGATGAACAAAATATAAAACATTCTTTCACTGGTTTGACAAAAATGGTTTTCTTCACAAAATATGAGGTAAAAAATGAGGTTGAGTTAAAATTGTTACCTTTGCTACCAGCTGATATGGTCTTTTTCACCAATGTCCCTTCATTTTCAACAATGTTCATTTCATAGTCCTCCAGAACTTCATCTATGGCTGTGACTGGCACATCCATGTCCACTACAGACACTGGCACTTCATTACTGTCTGTGGACACGTTATAGGAAGCCTCCTTAAAAGAGGCGATATCAATGTGGTCTAAAAATGAAGGGCAAAAGGTTTTGGTACATAATATGACAGTGATATATGATAGTGATATTTTGACAGAAGAAAAAAAAACTCCTTACTTGAAAGTCCTGCTTCAAAATCTACCAAAGTCTGATGGACCTTGGCTGTGACGTTCGGGTCGTTTTCATATCTCTGTGATGATTTTTTGCACTTTGCCTCTAGGTTGATGCCATTGTGCCTGATGGTGCAGACAGTTATTGTCAAAAATCATCGCAGCCACGTAAAAAATGTACAAAGCGAACTAACTAACTAACTATTTTGTACTGGTTTTACATGTAACTTACAAATGCAAGTCTAATTTAAACGTTGCCTCCTCTCATTCAGTTTCTACTGTTTTTTAATCCTTAGTTTTGGGCTTCTTGAAACACTGTCACTTTTGCATATTTTAATGCAAATTTAACATCAAAATACACAAAATGACTCATCCAGTTATACAGTACAAGCTAGGATTAATATAACAACATCAGTAAACCTTACTAACAATGTATCCATAATCCTGTAAAGGTCAGCCTCCAATTTTAGCACCCGATAGCAATTGATCAACAATTTTTCTCTCCAAGATTGTAATTAACATAACTGTCCTTCTCCATTGAGAAAGCTTGGCATAACAGTATCATTAACCAGATTAAACCAGATGTAACTGAACAGCTGTTTTACCAACTTATTTCCAATAACTTATCTGTATTGAAAACCAAGAGGTTAAATACAGTTCAGCAAGAGAAAAAAAGGAACAGAAAAGTGTTATTGTTGCCCCAAAAAGACTTTCTTTTTCAAATGCGAATTTTGTTTTTATTGGAGAGTGTTGGCTTTAAAACACACTCCACAGCAAAGACAATATTACCACAGTTCAAACAGCCCCAGCTCTCTTCAGTGGTTCAAAGCTGCATTACCATGAGTTAGTGGTGTATTAGCCATAACAAATTGCAACAAGGAAGCCAAACCAAACAAAATTTGTCTTCTAAGAGATTTGGGCTGGTCTCCTTTTCCTCAACGTTTCTGAGAAAACAAGGTTATAGTGGTTTCCTGGAAAACCGAGGAGCCAGCAGCATCAGGCCAGACCAAAGATTTATAAAGTTTCTCTGAGCAACAGCATTGATCCAGGATCCTGCGTCTGGGAACTCTACCATGACAATTTCACAGCAACTTTTAAAGGTGCAAAAGTGTTGTGTGGCATTATTCATTTTCCACAAAAAGCTTTGAATGCTTGACTAAAACCATAACTTATAAAGCCCAGCCCATTCAGGGTTGAGGGAGCCAGCACTGGCTAGATGTCAAATACTGTAACACATGCAGAATACTTTTTCTGCTTGAAAAAAAAAAAAAATCAAAACAAAATCTCTATGGCAGGACAATACAGGAGGAAAATGACCATTAATACTTTAGCTAGCACTCAGCTGAAGATCGTATTTTTAGCAAGGCGTAGAGATTATAAACAAGGTTAAATAGTACATGCATTACTTCTGCTGCCAGGAAACTAGGAACAATTAAAATGGATTATGTCATAAAAAAGGACAGTAATGAGAGTGATCTGAGACAGACGATGGATATGAGTTGGAAGAGAGATGAGTTCATACTCAGAAGCAGGAGCCCAGACAGATTAATGAGTCAGGTAGACAGTCTTTTTGTTGAGGCCAAAGCAGCAGTGCATTAATGTGTCTCACCACCATGAATGAGGATTTTAATCATCACAGTGGAATAAATCATAAATCAAATACATTACTCTAGAATGCTCTGCTTAATTACTCTCTTCCCTCATCTTTATTTACAACCCATAAGCCCATAACTACAATGCATCATCTCTCTCAGGCTGTTTTGGATTTTTTTTCTACCTGCATCTTGATCCCCAGGTGGCACATCCCTCATCACTGTCACTGGAATTGTCCCGGACTGGTCCCAGAAGTCTTTCTCCCCCGCCTCCGCTATTTCCATCCAGAGACAAACTCCCATCTGGAGATGTGGGCTGGGTGTCAGTTGGAGAACTGACAATGCCCGAGTCTTCACCCTCTGCCATGCCCTCTGAGGCAGCGTAACCTTGGTCTGGCAAGCTGCTACCACTGCTGCTGTTGAGGGATACAGTTTCCTCCTCAGGCGTTTCAGTATCATTGTGTCCCCTGACTGCAGAGCTCTGCATGGAGTGGAGCCAAGCTGTTCCAGAATACAGAGAGATGTCAGGATCAGGATTATGACCTATGACTTTTTTGACTGTTAGTAAGTTTTATCAAACTATTTCACACAGGTTTCTGTTGAATCACACCATGCAATGAAAGTAAATTGTGAATCAGCTAAATCTAGCACCACTGTGAGTTAATTTGTTTATTATAGCCTGGAACTATGCTACAAATGCTGCACAGTTTAAGTGACATTAACTAGAAACATAGAGACAGCGTTTTCCATTGAAATGCACTATTGGTCATAAAGCTCTGCAGTATAACACAACCTTCCAGTTCATTAATCAGCAAATACACAAATTGAAGTACTTGTACTGGTTTGTATACAAGACGGACACCTGGTCACCCTATTCACCCCCCTGATCTCTCCCCCGACTGAAACAGAAACAGCGACAGGGAGGGATTGTCTGTTTTGTCTATGACCCGAGTCTTTGGCAGTTCAGAGGTAAAATTATATTAAGCTGTAGCATCTGCTGAGCAGATTCTCTGTCTTGAAGTTATTTAATTAGGTGGTCTCTTGGTTGATTTAAAAAAAAAAACCCACCATGGCATACAATGGAAGCCAACTGACATCTAAAATTTCAAATATGATAACAAATACATTACAGCGTTGTTTTATTTGCACCTAAAAGATAATTTAAAAAAAGTTGTATTTTGTAATGTTTTTGAAGAAAAATAAACTAAAGAAAATTGAGTGGACAAAATAAAAGCAGTGTGTGAGGAGAGACATTTAAAAAAATATATTGAGGATGTATTTATGTTAGTTTCAACATTCATTCACCACACATACAGACCAGAAAACACAAGCCAAATATACAAACACAAGCCCAGAGCACAACCACTTGTGGTCTGATAAAACAGCTTTAATGATGTGTGGGTGGATTTACTGTAAATAACTCATTTTAATTAGATTTTTACAGTACTCTTTTAGGTTCCAGTGAAAGACACTGTTGGTTCATGCCCTCTCATCTCTTACACACTCTCATGCTCTGGTCAGTACTGTGGGGTTTTTTTTTTTTTTTTTGAGAAGTTATTTAATCTCTCTCTGATCTCACTGAACCCAAGGCCAAGATAATAAAAATCAATGCACCATTTGTTAAGTTTCTACAGTCCAGCCAGCACAGAATTCTCCAAAATGAGTTTAGCAGCAAGTGACACGGTTAGTGATACCAGGTGTCTAAGTGTGTGCATGCATTTGGACATGCTTTGTGCTTTAGCATGTCTGTGTGTGTGTGTGTGCTTGTGTGCACTAGGCCTGTCAGTTTTGGGCCTAGTCCTAATGGTGTTGAGAGAACTGTCAGTTCCAGGAGATGTGGTGATGACTCACAGGGTTGTCCTCCAAGCTCCTTCCCAGCAACAGCTTAGTCATGCCAGCTACAGCCACAATCGGCCACAAACACACACATACACACACACTCTCACACTAGTTTTTGCCCTGTCTGTATAGCAAAAATTACACAAGTAAACAAAGTTTTCACATCGCCATAACTCAATGTGACCTTTGGATCATTCCTCCATTCAAGACATTTTGGTTAAAATTCAATACTGTTCCAAGTTACCAGGAAGAATCAGAGTATTACATTCTATATAATCTTATACTTTTATTTAAAATGTTGTTTTTTCCATAGCAATTCAACTCAGGTACAAGAGCACTTATAAATCGCTAATGAAAAGCTCTGAGAGAGAAACTGGGTTCACTCATCAAATATGCCTGACATTTTTCAACATACATGACTGACCTAAAAATAGTTGAGCTTAAAGATATCAGAAAGACTACAACAGATAAACTTCAATGACCAAAACAATTATTCCATTATTATGTATTAATATGCTAAATAATAACCACAGATACCTGAACCTCTCACAACCAAAACTACAGTACATACAGTATACTGTACGTATGGGCTATGCATAACAGCACTTTACATTGACAAAATAACTTGATATTTTTAAGTGTTTTGAAATGATTTAATTACTGTAAGCTGACTGTTAACCTTATATGTATATTGAGAAATACTATATTTTAAATTGACATCTAAGAACATTCTTTAAAAAACAAAACTTTCCAGACTAATGTTAGAACTACATCTTTAAAACACACTTGCTCCTTCTACTAGTGTCATTGATGGATCACCCTTTTCCATATTCATGCCAAAGGCAACATGCCCTCCCATCTCCAGTTTCTACTGTGATCTCCAACACCAGGTACAGGGAAAACATACACGTTACAGCTATTGATCTGCAGATATCACATCACCAAAATATTGGCTGGTAGATATTGCGTGGCCTTGCCTCATAACCTCATTTCAGCATGTCACTCATCAATCACATTGAACCCGATCCTCCCAGGGATTAGCTCTGCTGTCATTGTATATTCTTACCACATTCTCCAGTCTGCTTTTAACTCAGCCCTGATCTCATACATAATCAATGAAAGGCAGCAATGAGTTCAAGATTAAAACAAACAAAATATATATATATATATTTTAGAACATTAGTTCACACACTAAATATTCCTTGAAACAGCTGTCATAAAATATTATACATTTAAAACCATGCTAAAACAGATGAAGACAAGTACCAAAAAGTGGCCTCTAAAAGTGACAAGAGAAACCATTTAACGGAAAATGAATATTGAACAGAGAATATACAGTAAAATAATGTAAATACTGAGAAATTTAAAAGAGAAAGTGAAAAGAGAAAGGAAAAGTTCACAGATGAAGCAAAGGGAAATGGGAGAGAATGGACAGTCAGGTGAAGAAGGGTCAGGCCAGGTGGACACTTCAGGAGTGACTGGAGCGCAGACGTACAGGTCCACAGCAGTATACTACAGAGAAGGGTGAGGGGTGAGGAGAAAGGGAAGAACAGATGTGTTTTAACACAGATACAGCATGTCTGCAGTGAATATATGGGAACAGGTCCACACACTTGAATAAAGGTCACTCATGTAAGGTGCCACATTTTTTCATTGCAAATGTAATATAATCCTATGTAGTGTTTAGTACAACATAAAATCTACTATGGTGATTGGTGTTGACCTTAGCCTTGACTTACGGGACAGGCAGAATAACAGGGACTATTGTTTGACATTTATAGATATGAAATACCTTAACCCCCCGTGGACTAACCTAACAACTCAGCTGCACAGGTTGCTCACTGAAAGATGCAAGTCATGTCAGGGCAAAGCACTGGAAACATTGTAAAGACAGACACTTTCACAAATTCACATCAGCTGTACAAAAATATTAGAAAGAAAAAAAAAAGAAAAGAAAGTAGAGGATGAGGCAGCTTCTGGGAAAGAAAAGAAAGACCAGGAATTAGTCAAATCGAGAAGCAGACCATCTGGAACCTACACTGGGGTGCCGTTTCTTCCATCTCTATAGGACTCTCTGGGGATTTATTTCCTGTAGACTCAATGGGAGGGGAAAGCGGGGGTGGAGTGGATGAGGCAGAGGGAACATGTTGCAGTGGTCCGTGGGTTGGGCAACGTCGAGGTTTAGGAGGTGCTTGTTGATCAGGAGTTCCTGTTGGTGGAGCAGGGCAGCAATAATGGGCATGATTGTGAGGGAGATTTAAATTATAAGTAAAAAGAAGAAGAAGAAGAAGAAAAAATATATACTTTGGCCTTGAGAATCTTGATGTTTACCAGACATTTGTAAAACTTCGACTTGGTTAACACAAAATATGTTGACTAATCAATCTAAATAACATTATGACATGTAGGGCATAAAGTTACTGTTACTGTAAAAGGACAGGGTTGTACAACAGCTACCTTAAATGTCCTTCTGCATCAGCCTGTTAAGTCAGCAGGAGCTGTCAACACGCTGCTTTATCTGTTTGCTCTGTCATTGAAAATATTAGGGAGTTCAGATGATGAAATTTAGTACGGTGAACCCTGTGCAATAATAACACTTGCCTGTAGATTCCACCCAAACACACACATAAAGTCCAAATACTTATTTTTTCATCTTTAATCAAGTCCAATAATTCACTTAACAGTCCCCTCCTGTCCACCTGTACTTGCTTAAAAACACAAATCTGTATCACATAAAATTACACAGAAACGTCTTAAATATGCTGATCTGATAACAGATGGCAACTAAACAAATATTGCTGATGTACTGTATATATTAAATGCCCCGGGATCATGTATCACTGCACATCTGACAGGGATGTTCTTTTAATTCTCATTGATATGCGCATTTTACCTTACGCTGCCATTTGATTTTCTTGCTACAGTATCATGTATCATTTCAAGTTTGACCTCAGAGAAGTGTATACTTTATATATACTGTACAGCATGTGCACTGTTATGTGGGCTTGCAGTATATATGTACATAGGTTAATGTTTTATATTTATCAAAATACACATTTTTAAGTATGAACAAAATGACAACATTTATATTGATCAAAATACATATTTTTAAGTATGAACAAAATGACAACAATAATTCCACAGTCCATCCCCTTATTGTTGCTTTAATATACACTGCACAAACGTGCTTCAACTTCAGGTCAGAAGCCCAGCTTGTGTCAGACCAGCCTCACTGAGGGCAGGGAAAACACAGAAAATAAGTCTATGATCAAAAAATGTAATGCATACTAGTTGTTTTTCAATTTGGTGTTATAGTAAGTGTAATATTGTCAGCAGAGTTGACTTTGACTCCAATTGTTATATACAAAACATTATGTTGTGATAAAATTAGTCCTTCCATTGAGGTAACTTGTACTGTACAGATTTCAGTCTGTCTATCTAAGCAGAATGACACCAGTATGCACTGTATGGATGCAAAGGGTGCAGTTGTCTAGCCCCAACCTGTCGAACAAATATTCATTTTGTGCCGAATATGTACTGTTCATATGTAACACAGCACAGCTACAATGAAAAACATTCCAAAAAATGTGGAAAGTTAAAAATTGGACAGAGAATAAGACAGGACCAAATGAACTTTTATGAAGAAAGTGTCTATTTCTGAAGGAATTCTAAAGTAGAAGCATGTACAGTGAACAGTGGAGACATGAGCAGCTATAGAATAACCATAAAGAGACAGAAGGTGATGCCAGATCAGCAAAGTGTAAGGACATGAAAAGACATGTCCTTAGTCTATGAATTTATTAATGATTCTCTGATGTCTCTTCTATCCTGTCTGTCACACAAACGTCCTCATTCTTCATTCATCCTCCTGCTTTTATCTCCCTATCCATTATTCTCATCTGCCTAAGTCCTCCCCAGTGGTCTTATTTCTACTTTGCTTCCCTGCCATCCCATTTCTCAGGCTCTTTTTTCTGATCTGCAGTCTGGCACCCTAACCTTCCTCATCTCTGTTCCAAGTTCGCTTCTTTCATCTCTGCCTCTGTCAGAGCTATAGGTTTCATCAAGACCAATAAACGAACAGGAAAAAGTCACATAAAGTCTGTTCAGTTCTATTATGGGTGCTTGCGACTTCATATCTGTCAGTCCACATTAGAAAAATGAGGACAGAGAAAGAAAACATCAGGAGTAAAAAGAGAGAAAATCACAGATAGAAAGATGAAACCAGGTTTCTGTAGTTTAGCCGTGACATGCATGCAGACATGTTTACATGAATCGCAATCTTCTTCTGCTGCAGTTTGACAGCTCAGCGCTGTAGGGAACAAGTTAAGTCACTTTTCAAGAAGATTAGAAATGAAGAAATGTTAGCGATCGTTTGAATGCCTATAGGTTTGAATTTCTCAACATACAATGACCTTCTATGGCTCAGTGATCCACGATCAGTTCCCTTTTAAAGGAAAGATTCTATACTGTGTTATGAAGAAAAAAGTGTCAAAAAGTTCACAATTCAGTTCATATAAATGTAACTGGTGTAATATATTATAACACATATAGGTGGGTGTTGATATAGAGTAAAAAGAGCCACAGTTTCTGGTTGAAAAATGCATAAGTATAATATAAAATAAAATGAATTCATACCAAAACTGTCAGGTACAAGTATTTTGGTAGAAATATCATAATACCTGAACACATTTTCAGTAAATGTGTAATCTTGTATTTTCTTCTTTGGAGGGATAATGTAGAGCGAAGCAAAAATCTGACTTCATCAGAACAATTGACATGGGATCCAATCGCTGTTTGCGTCATTCAAAAGCCACCTGCTACTTTAATTGAGTTAGCACAGACAAGTATGTAATGCAAAATTAATCCCAATGATATTTATTTGGATTGAGAACTGAGGAAATTGAAGGCAAAGTTTAGGATTGTCAAACCATTCATGAAACATGAATTTGAATGAAGCAGAGACACTGCAATGTGTCAAAGTAGCACCAAAGTGGATGGCAAGACCAAATGTTTTCCAGTAAAGCATTCCACAGAGCACTGTCTCTGCGCACTTGCTTTCTGCCAACTGTGCATCCTGTTCTTATGTGTTCCACAGGTAAGTGACACACTTGCATCGAGCTAAGAAAACGTGTTCTATCAAATATATCTTTGGTCCAGTTGGAATACACTTACACTTCTTGAGATTTTTTGGAATATGCTATCATGTTCATTTTTCTGCTACTATTAGGACACAAGCTGTAACCTAGCCAAAGTAAGATTAGGAGTGATTAATGTAAGTATATTTACCTGTTGCACTTTGTCTGTTGTTTTCAACTTCTTCCATTTTCAGGTTGAGTGCTGACTCAGTCTCCGATCGGGAGCTGCTGGCTGAAGACGAATCCTGATTCGATTTGGTGGCAAATGTGCTGACTTTCTCCATCCTGTAGCTAGAGCTTTTCTCAGTGGGTTGGACCTGAACAGAGCCACTGGCTGTGCTGCTGGTGAGGGTGCTGCATTGAGAACCGTCCATCTCCAGATCATCGTCTGAAACATCATTTTCAGAGCTGGAATCCTGGACAGCCAGGCTGTCTGTGGTGCTGCTACCTGTGGATGGGGAGCTGGTGGGTGTAGGTTGTGTTGGTGTTTTAGTGGGGACCGGTTGAATTGTTTGCATTATCACAATGGTAGAGGAGGCAAGGACTGACTCTGCCGACTTGGTGCCTGAGGTTGGTGTCTCAGAAGTATGGTAATGAGGACTGGCAGAAGCTGAAATGTCATCAGATCCCAGGGTGGTAGCAGATAAGTTGGGAGGGGGACCTGGAGCTTTTCTTTTCCTTTGTTGACTTTCTACAGCAAGTCCAATCTAAAAGAAAGCAAGCAAACGTTAATGAAAGAGATTTAAAAAAGTGATGTGAGCACCTTGTGCATGTGTTGGTGTTTCTTTTTGTGTGTGGTCTACCTATAAATCAGCCTGTAAATTCAGTCTGCCACAACATGGGTAGAGTTAGCTACTGAATAATTAAATCGAGTGGGGGTTTGGCAGCCCTCTGGGTCTTTAAATTCCATCCAAGTACCAGCATTGCCTTCAAATTATCCTATACACAACATATCAACAACAGCTGGCAGGGTTACAGTTGATAAGCTGAATAGAGCATTCAAATGTATTTATCTATCAATGTGGTCAATGACCTTTACTGTGATGCTGAATAACAAAAGGTATAATCATTGATCCCTCTGACAGACCTGAAGTGCAGCCAAGTCTGGGCTCAGACATTTAAGAGATGTACAATTCTGCTAAGTGTGTGCAGAGACGCAATCTGCAAGTTCCATTTGACAAGTTGTAGAAGGCCTTGATAAGGCTGAGAAAAATGTGACAATTGTTTCTTTAATAGATCAATTCATCTTTCATAACACAAAAGTCTGCAAAACGAAATTTGCTAACGTAACCTTAAAGAGCAAAAGGAAAGCAAAAAATAATTTTCCTTGCAAAGGTAATATATACGTTTAACATCAATATTCATTTCTAATGTAATACTAATATACAAAAACTAAAACACTAATTCTTTTGTATTTATGAAGCTGCACAAAATTTTAATTTTAAAACTAACATTTCTGGAATTACGTATATACATATATACACACATACACACACACACACACATATATAATGTAAATGATCAAAAGGTAATCCTTAGTTTGAGACAGACTGCATGTATGACACAGACACAGACATGGATGTTGCCTCTATTTTAAAATTGGAGCTCTAAAGACAGGTTTAAACAATGCATTTGTCTTTTGTAAAAAAAATAAATAAATAATTGCTGTGGTGTTCCACTTGTCATGTTGCTGAATGTAGAGTTGCATCATGCAGGACAACAGATAGAGAATGAGTGAGAGATCAGGGCACCTTGCCTTACTGCAGGCGAACTGGGTTCACGCATATGAACTCAGTGAACTCACTGCATGGTATGCTATGGAAATCCAAATGGGCCCCCAACTGGCTGTCTTTCTCTTCCTTGGTCTCCCACTTCTTCCCCTCTCCCACACTCAGACATACACGAATACAGACCCTCCAGTGATGTGGGCCAAAGTTGAAGTCGAAATGGATGACTGAGTTGCCCATGAAGATGGATGTGTGTGCATGTGTGTGTGTGTGTGTGTGTGCATGTGTGTTCCCTGCAGAGTGAAACATAAGACCACCGCCTACCCCGCTATGAAATGAAGAGAGCTGCAGCCTCAACACATATGCACATATGATTTTATGTGTGACAAACAAACTCACGAATGTACTTAAGTGCAATTACATTATATTGAAAATGTATCTCCTACAGTGAAATGGAATGAGGTGGGCTGCAGGGTTTATTTGTGTGCTGCTGCCATGTGTATGTGAGTGCTATTACTGGAAACAGGCATGGACTCTGATTGCTATCTGGTAGAAGGAACATCTTCGAGGCCGTAGGTTTCTTTGCTATCTTTGCAAATGTGCAACATGCAACACCAATTTGGATGCCAATAAATGATATGCTATCACTATTAACTTAATATTACTATATTATAAATATTATTTCAATAAAATATGTTTGACAGCTACGCAAAATTAGCAGCAAAGACCTTGTGAATTGAGATTGATCGACCGAATCTTCAATGATGTCATCACCCATTCTTCTCATTAACTGACTTCCTTGTTTTTATAGCAAAGTAATTTTGTTTGTTTTGACATTAATTCCTAGACCAAGAGCAAAGAAAGATCTTGATTACAATGTCTTTGTTATCCACTTCTTGTGTGTCTTAAGTTATCATGGCAGATGTTCAGCAAATGGTGTTTATTTTCTCATTAAGCCACCTCATTAAACAAAAATAAATCTGCTCGATTGCTCATTTTTTCTGCTTTGCCTAGTCACAATATGCTGCTTAAGTGTATCAAAATGTATCTGGGGTAAGATCTATCTATTAAAATGGTCCCCTCTAAATTGATGATGTATCCAATGCTTAGAAAACTGAGAAATAAATTGACATGTCTATATGTTTTAGGGAATGCATTGTCACACAAAAGTGTATTAAAGGCCATGCCATGACAGTCTAGTGTGTCCATTAAATTTTCCACCCTATGGTTTGAGAGGCAAAGGGCCCCATGTTGGAAAATGTTGATCAGATAGGGCCACCCATGGAGGCTTCAACCTGGTGGCGTGACCATTCATCAGTTGTTTTGAAGGCCTCTTGATGGGTGAGGGGCTGTGTAACAGAGCAACATTACAGCGCTAATGTGGAATGTTAAATAGACTGTGTGTGTGTGTACACTGTATGTGTGTGAGAGAATCGGCGCATGCTCGAGTACTTTTTTTATATATGCGTGTGCGTGCAAATGAACGCGTATATATGTATGTGCGTGTCAGACATAATAATACAAGCTGAACTGTCTCAGTGCTGTGAGGGCAGTAAGGTCAAAAACATCCTAACAGTGGACTGTAGGACAGTAAGCATATGTGTGTGTGTATGTGGGTTACACAACAGACATATCAAGGCTGTGAATGTATGCTGAAAAACGTTGTAACGAAGTTTTGACAATAAGCGTATGGAACAGAGGGGCGTTGAAGAGGGTTGCTGAGGGTAAACGTACACACCGCTGACCCAATTTCATTGTTGGCTCATTTGTCCCCCTAACCCACAAAATTTCACAGGTTTTCCACACCTTCTCTTCATGTGTTGTATTTGTCCTTCATTTTTTTGTGTGTATCGCAAAATCATAGTCATTTTAAGATCTAAAAAATAGTCAAACTGGAAAAGGTATGCTAGATTGAATCTAACGACATCAATGTTGTAATTTTAAACAATAAATGTATTTCTAACAGTTGGTATTGAAAAGTACTTTTTTGGATGTTAGTCATAATTTGACTCCCGTTGTTTCACAATCTAATCTACGAGTGATTGTGGTTGAACAAGTTTTCCTAGCAATGGGAGGTGGGGTATTCACCACTCAACTGTTTTTTTTCTTCTACATTTTAATGCCAATGTGCCCATAGGCAAAGTTTGGTGAGTCTGTAGGCAGTACAACTTGTGACATACAGTATGAACTGAGCAGAACAGAGTCTATAGTAAAGGAGTAACCATCAACTACAGGTGTGTTGCTTCAGCTTTGGTCCAATATAGAGTGGACCATGTGTCAGCAGTTTTCAGCTCTAAACTGGTGTATGTTAAAGATAACTATGGGTAGTCATTATTATATACTGATATAAATTTATGTCTGCTACAAATGATAATTACACAGCAGCTTACACAATGCCACAAATGACTAAGCCAGACACAAAAATAGCTTCACTGAGTTTGTTTGTTCCAGCTGTCCTGGTTGGTGTCATTTACAATGCTTTCTGACAGTTTCACATGCAAACAAATCCTGTCCCACACAGTCTGCATGGCAGGGTGACAAGTTCCCCTATTATTGGCCCCTAACTCATACTTTCACAATGTTCAAGGTCAGTGCATAAGAATAGGCAGCTTATAGTGACTACCTTGAGACAGACACCAGACACCACAAAAGGCAAACTTCTCACATCCATCTGCCTGTGGCTTAGAGTGGATAAGTGGTGGTTTACCTGATCCTTACAATACAGTATGTAATAAATAATTACAATTTCAGGTTGAATCATCCTAACAAAAATAACATAAGAACCTGGATCACATCATCATAAAATCATTTTGAAGTAAGAATTTAGGGACAAAATTCAAAATTTTATTGGTTGTTTTGATGGGTATAGAGCATATTGTTCCATTAGATGCTGATGATAAGCTCCATAAATGTTAAGCTTATAATTTTAAAGGCATATGCATATGAGTGGCTCTGTAAATGCTTAAAGTATTTTTGTTGTATAGAATATGAAACTAATGGTAAAGCAATATGCAGATTTTATTTAATTATAACTAGCAATAAAAATGAAGCACATAAATCATGCTGTTTTATTCAGATGGTGTAGCACTGATACGGTGTGTTGGTTTGGCACATACATTTAAACTGATTACACTTTACAATGCTGATTACTAAGATTTAGGCTTGGACCCAAAACTAAGAAGGCAGTATGAATAAAGGATAAGTGGATAGGAGGCAATCACTCTTACAATGATAAGCCATGGTGCCAAAAATCAATCAAGCACACATAGAAAGTTGACTTTAGGTCACATGTGGCTGTGCTTCTATGCTGACATTTACACATTCAATCATCAGAAAGGATTAACATCTTCCACTTTCACAGTGAGAATAACAAACACACACACACACACACACAACATATATATGTATAATGTTACATACAGCATATATAGCTTTTAATAACTGGTTATTTTTCTCTTCTATTCTCTCTGCCTGGCACACACACAATCTAAGTGACAGAATATCAGTACAACCAGACCCATACAGAGCAGGGGAGGTCAGACCTGATCTCACACGGCGGTGGAGAAGCATCCTGGAAGTATTTTAATCCTATGTGTGAACGTGTGCCGTCTTTAACCCCGTCTACATGCAATGGGATCACTCACTACAAATACCAGGTCTGTTAACAATGTATAACACTTTAATCATCTGGCATGGGGAAATTGAAGGACCTAGAACTAAATGCCATTGTATTTTTCCTAAACAAAACCTGTAACATTTTAAAGTTAAGTGGGGTTACAATCTGACTTTATTTGAGGAAACATCTTGGAACCGGATGAACCTTGATGAGTCGTTGGTTTGTTGGCCGACAGCCAGACATTTTGGAAGCTCTGATAAAGTACACTGTCGAACAAGAGCCAGAGCACCTGCTATTTTCAGCTATGGCTCAAATTAATGAAAACAGCAGTTCTAAAGAAAGGACAAAGGACGAAAGAGTGATGAACAGGCTTCCTGTTTTCTTTGGCAACAGAAGTCAGCTTTCTCCCAAAGGGACATAACAGAACATCTTTGAGAATTCATGGTCATACAGTGGAGTCATATGGCTTCCAAACGGCCTCTAACCTCTCACGTCAGGAAAACCTGGATTACATTTTTCTCTCCATGCTCACATTGCTTTCTCATTTGTTTGTGTTCTCTCAAGAACTATTATCTTACCTAGGCTTAGCCTATCTAACCACAAACATCACTAAAACAACACTTCTTGGACACAACACTTTTTGGACACATTGACTCAACATTCCCCGATTAACCAACAATGCAAACATGTAAATTACCTTCTGCATAAGATCATTGAAGTAAACTGTGATCAAAACATCATTTGAACGATGTTGAGCCTGAAGTATCTAAGTATCTTGAGCACAAAAGATTAAAACACTTGGACATATTGTCTCACTAAATCTTCTGGACTTCTTTGTTCTTAATACATTTCTAAAATACTTACTTTAAGGTAAGCCTACATCAGTTTTGACAGGTCTGCATACTGTTCATATGTACTACATATAACCAGTATGACATTTGTTTGAGCAAATAATAAAATGGTAGTTTCTGTTTTAACATTTCATGACAAAATCAAATCAAAAAGTCACATTTATTTCATAAAAGCATCAGCAGGAGATGTGCAAGCAGCCTGTGTTTACAGGTAATCCCTTTAAAGACACAGGTCAGGTTTTCCCACAGATTTATAGATAGCCAGCTACCTGAAACTGATCTTATTACTCCCTAACCTTCTACCTCCCAAAGCTGTTTGTCCTTGGTTAAACTTTTACCCTGCTGTGTCCTTTTGTAAGGTCATGGTGGCGCTGAAACTGTGCCAGATTTCATGCTGCACTGGAAAACCAAAACCCTGCGATGTGTAGCGTTATTGTCGTGAGACCTAAATACACATATCTAAACCCTCATAAGACCTGGTGTTAACGTCACTGTGCGTTTCTGCGTCTATACATAATTCAGTGATTCACTTTGTCTATTTTGTGCCTAATCCACTCTCATTCTCCACTTCACCTAGGTTGTCCCCAGTTTTCTTGTGCACGCAACAGACATGGTAAACAGGCAAATATGCTTTACACATGATTTGATAAGCTCCTCCTGGGCCTGAGAAGTCAAGCAAAAAATCTTGGAATTTATCTACTGCTTTGTACTGTGTGATTTTTGCGAACTGAAAGTTCCACAACATTATTGTGCTGCTCTTGACTGGACAGACACACATAGTTTATTGTTCTTTTACCATAAAAAAACTGCAAAGTCTCCTGACTTCATGATGAACTCTGTTTGTTTAAACACTGCACTCCAATCTCAGCTTACTACACAATCTTCTGTTCTTCAGACATCACATTAGGTAAAGATTCTATCTTTACTGTAAATGAAAGCTAAAGCCATCTCATTTTTTTTTCAATGTACAGGAACTATAACTGGGACTGTTTAGAGAAGACAAAGTGTTGCAGACTGAGTTTTGTTGCGTTCCTTTAGTCTCAAATTAAGCTTTCACTAAAAAATGGGTTTGCTCTGATTTAAAATTAAAACCAGGACACATCTCAACAACAACAAAGATACAATGATTCAAACTGTAAAAGCTGACGAAAAGACTAAGACTAAAAGTCATGTCTTTAGTCATGGTACCTATGGAAATGATCCATTTTGTCTGTCCATGTAAGTACAGCTATAGACATCTTCTTTATATTGAGTCAAACACGCTGCGCAGCTTCATACTGAAATCAGCGTTCAAATATCTCGATTCCCTTAAACATGACATGTTTAGATAAAAATAAGCTCAACCTTAGTTCACTCAAAGCACATGTTAGAGATGACACAAAGATGCCAGAAGCAAAATGCAGTAGAGCAGAAACAATGGAATGAGGTTCTGAATGGCTCCATGTAAAAGTTTGCCAAATTAGAGCTACTAGCTATGATGATTTAATTAGCTGCCCTGAGCTAACTCTCTTAAGGCTATTTAAAGCATTAAGTTTCACTAAAACAATGTCATCAACCCAATATCTCACAATATGATGATATTGTTCATTACTCCATCCCAATGGCTGCCAGTAGTTGATCACCTAAGCTTATTGAGGACAGAGGGAAGTCTATAATGAGTTGAGTCATCATTGGAAGCTGTCCTCAGACAACCTGTTATTACGTGCTCGATCCTGTTCACACCACCAATATGCAACTGTGCATGCTGTACATGTAATCATCAGTCCGTGTGTAAGCTGGCCAACTTCCAGCACATCCCTTAAGGACATACCTGTTCTTGTTAAGTTATTATTTTTGAAAAGAATAGCGTGACATCTGGTTTCACTGGATCTTGCATTTGCCCAGGATAATGTGATTTTATGCTGACAGGAAAAGTGTGCTAGTTTTTTTTCTCTCTTTGTAGTCTAATACCAATACTAATACCACCTCTAGAAAGTGCAATGCCAGTTTCCATATAAAAGTAAAAGTTGGAAATGATGTTGATGTGATTTGATTTGAAATGAACTTCTGCTGATCCAATTCATACACCCCTCATTATCTGCAAAGCCCCATGGGATACTGCTCAACTGCTACAGTATGTCACTCATCAAACTAAATCCTTTAAAACCACTTTTGCACAACAAAATCACTCAATTTTCAGACACCTGACTCTTCTGTTAAATCATTAAACCTGTCAATATGTGGACGACGTGATTTTAAAATTCTACAAAAAATCAGGAAGTGCCCCCTGCTTTACAGAAAAATGCTACCCCTGTTATTAACAGAACTCTTCATCCTTAAACATGACCTGGATGACTGAGAATCTTCCACGGTTGTTTTACCTTGTTAAGAACTACAAATGGAATAAGTTGCATTAACCAGGGAAAAATATTGTTTGTAGACCATTCAACTGACCAACCACACCAAGCAGACTGTGCTATAAAACATTTGATGTATACCAAAATGCAGCTAAGTGTAGACATGCACAAAGTTTTCAGACTTCAAGATCATATCAGTACACATTTCGGGGAAGGCATCCATGATTAAAGGGATAAAGTATTAAAATGACAAAATTAAAATTCCCAAATCGCTTATGTGTCGCTAAACATAGCAACACATAAGTTGTCTCAGTATTTTCAGTGACATGTACAAATAACTGTTGCCTTCTGCCTCAGCACAACCACAGTTTGCAATTCTAAAAATATTAACAGAAGCCAAACACAAAGGAATAAACAGTTAGCAAAGTTAAACTTGACCTTTTAACTAATAAAATTGTTGATGATTATAGTGATTAGATTAAAATATTTGATGCATTTTAACAACTGGGCAAATCATTCCACCTTCCATCCACTTACTGTATCGTTGTTGTGATATGCAGTCAATACACATTGTTATTTACAGCATAGGTTGTCATATGTCAAAACACATCAAAACTCAGCATGCAGTTGTGGAGGCTTCAACTTCAGGTCAGATGCATGGCTTTCATTAGACCAACCTCCACCCCATTTTAGGTGGATTGTATTAAATTTCAGTCTAGTAATGCATTAACGGTCTTAAAAAAAAGAGGGACTTTATTAGTTTGTGTTTTTAAGCAAATGAGAGGACACTTTGCGTGGTGGTAGTTATTAAGAGATCACAAGCCCGGAGATAAACAACTACACTCAACTGTTCAATGTATAAACTTGGATGAAAGTGCTGCGTAAAGCTTTTATTTCCGTTAAATGGTTTTGTTTTTAATTAACAGTGACTCAGAAAATTCTCACATCGCTTTTCTTACAGTTTTTTCCCTAATTGCTAATTAGGCTAAAAAAAGAACACAGAGGTCTCTATGTTGTCCTGAGGCAAAAAGAATCTTGTTGATAGCACACTTCAAAAACACAAGCTTATTATCATGAGGACAATGGAAGGGCAATGGTTGCTAAATAACATTTCCCAGCATGCTGCCATAACAGTATAATGAGACTGCAGGGAACTGTTGCACTATTGTATACAATACAGGTCACTGTGTCCTTGAGATGGTAAATCCCAGTCGAAAACATCCAAAATAAAATGGAAGGTCAAACTGATCGCCTTTCCGCATACGTACATACCTCATGTTTTTAATACGCCACCCTTGTGTAACACGCAAATACAATTAGCTGAGCTGTATTCCTTCACCTGATTTCTCACACAGCTGGTCACTGTCATAGCCTCAGGAGGTGCTGGGGCCCGTCTCTTCTTTATTTCGGCCTTAGGAGACATCTTGGACACGTTAGTGACTGACTGAGACTGACCCAAGGTGTAGGACAGACCCTGAAAATATAGAGACACGTGAAATCTAATTATTTGTGAACATCACAGTAATAAAAACATTTCAACTCTAACATGGAGCACTACTCTAGCAGTTTGTCCTTATGACAAACAAAATTAATTCAGCTTATGAACATTAAGTTTTTCAGATTCAACTTTGTTTTTTTTTACAAAGGTTTAAAAATCCACTCTTTTCACATGTACATGTCATACTAATGTTGTCTCTTGCTTGCAACCTAAATGAAAAACGTTCATGTTATTTGAAGGTCTCATAAGAAATAAGAACATTTTTGATCAAAGAGGTCATTATTGACCCTAAAGTACCAAAGGTGGCAATTTGAATGACTAGCAAGTAATATGAATGATAACAATTACCAGTTTGTTATTCTTACTCATGAGATTTTCATGCAAAACAACATTAAGTTTAAGCTTGTATTCATTGTGGACAAATTTAGAAATGTCTATATTTGACCACAATGAATACAAGCTTTTTTAAAGTATTTTGCAGGAAATAAATTCTCAGTAGAGATCAAATTTTACACCCTTAAAATCTTTGGGTTAAAAATGATTATTTTGGTCTACACCATGATGCTTTCTGGCCATATTAGTGTTTGCACACTTACTCTCTCACACACACGCACTCACACACAAAGACACACAGTCGATAAGCCCCTAATGAACAATTAGTGATAAGAGGCTTGGCTTTTAGTGCTAATGTAGCCTAGGTAGGGTAATCTGATGCCTTCAGGCGGATAACACTGTATGTCTATAAGTGTGTGTGTTTGCTTGTGTAAGTTAATGCATGTGTGTGTAGTCTGATAACAGACTCCAGCCATGGAACAATCATGTCGTAGAGAAAAAGGCTAGCTACATTGAAACCTCCTAGAAAAAACGTATCGACTGAGGAATATCAATATGAAGAAATATGACTCAGCTTTCACTGTCTACATTCAAGCCAACAATAAAACAAATATGTTTTCTATTATGGTTATCAACACAAAGTTCCCTTTTACAACACTGAAGAAATACAACAAACATGACAGAGAAAATGAGGATGAAGAACAGCAGAAACAGAACAGTAAACTGATCCAAAGTGGAGCAGACAGTGATCCTCCAGCTAATACAATCAAATGTCATATTGATCTGAGGTGAGCCACACAGGACAGCTGCTCAACGGAGGTCCATGGATTCAAAATCAAGTTAACATGATTGAGTTATGAGTATGAAAGATAGATGGGCTAGCTAATGCAGCCTATAATTGTGGATCTGGTTCAACATGAAAGCTCTGCACACACAGATACATGCATATACACACATACACTCAAGCACGCACACAAGCACAAAACTTTGTAATTATTAAGTATAATTACATTGTAGATATAAGGCGATCACATTTTACTTTTACAGATGTTTCTAAGCTTCTTACTCATCTTTTGGTCCATATATATGTCTTGATTTTAAGATCCGTTTTATGTAAAACAAATAAAAATACATAAAAAATAAGGCAAGAAAAGCACAAATAATCTGTCCAGGACCCAAATGGGGACGGATACTACCCTCTGGTGGACAATAGCCCACATGACAAGACCAGGACGAAAAGCTAGACAGAAAATCCCCCTAGAGCCACATCTTTCCAAATAAGTCATTCTATTTTCACAAAGTATGAATAGAGATGTCTTTTATTATACCACGTACTTGCATTTTTCCAAAGCGTATGCACTGTCTTTACTGTCATGTTCACTTTATTGTCATATTTAGTACCTATGGTTAGCCATGGAAAACCATGTATTTTTATAAAACAGCAAGTCTGGATTTGGTAGTTAAACTTACATTAGAGTTTGTATCAGGGTATTCGATTGCTTTATCATCACAATCATCCATGTCCACAGATGTCTGCAAACAGAAGACAACTCACATGCAACATTAAGCTGTTCAAGCATGGGTTTAGTATGCCACTTGTTAATAAATATAACTATCCATCACCAATCCAGGTTGGTTTGTGAATAATTGCCTTAGTTTTATTATGCCCTAAAAGTGTATCGTAAGATTTCTTAATTTCCCTTAAAAAGCTATCTGGACTTACTTTGTTCTTTTTTCTGCTGAACTGGAAAATACCCAGGAGGCCTTTCTTCTCTGTTCTGGAGCAACTGTCGTCTTAACAACAAACACAAAAGAGATAAGTGAGAATATCTTTTCTATAAATACAAACTAAGCTGTCATGGCAGACATGACATGCAAATAACAACAGCAACCACAGCTTACCAAGTGTAAAACCAGTTTCACATTTAACACACTATTACTTAAATTGAATACGTTCAAAATATTTATATATTTAGGGTCATACGCCAACAGTTCCTAATTATATCTGCCATTTTATTTTGCAAATATCAATTATTGTACCTGCTTTCACTGAGTGCCAATTATCCCAGCAGAGGGAGCTGTCGTATAATTTTGTTAATGCTCAAGTCAGTCTAACCTTGACAGTTAGCTTAAGGTCAGAGTGAAAAGGTTAACTGGCTTTTCATAAAAGGCAACAGCTGAAAAGGCTGTTTGATTTTCAGGAAAGATCAATAAATGTAAGTAAGAAATTAGCCATTTTCACTCAAAAGACAAAGTGTTAGTATCTTTAGAATGATTTGTTTTTGATTTATAGACATGGCCAAATACAACAACATGGTTAATGAACAAACAGTAGTGGACTTGGTTAAACAACTACATAGATTTGGAAGCCACGAGACTAAAACAGACAGAACTTATACCTGAGTAGTTCAGGGCAGGTGCTGAAGCCATTTTAGGCTGCAGAACTGGAAAATATAACAGGTTCAAAACATTTTACTTCACAGATACAGCACAGAGGTGAGCTGTTTACAAATCGGACTCACTGTTTTCAAACAGCAACAACACTGTCCATTTCAGTTTTGACTTTCTTAAAAAAAAAGGCAATTATTTTGAAAGGTCAGGGGCAATATGTGACCAATAAACCATTGTATATGACCAAAGATACACAGTGTTCTCGATGTGACTGATAAACCAAAGGTCTTTCATCACAGATCAGACTTTATTACCTTACGACACATAAAAAAACAAAAGGGCTAAAGTGTTTCCATGTATACAAACCAAAACTTTGGATTCTGGACCATAAAGTAGCTTAATTTTAGATCAAAGACTAAAACCCAGCTTTTTGTAACTATAATTTAATTAAATGGTAATGATATAAGAACGCTTTTTTATTTACTGGCTCTTTCAGTATGTTCACCTTGCTACTCTTTTTATTTTACCCTCAGAACTGCCTTCATTTAGATTAAGATTTTAAGAATTGTAAAACATGACAAGAGATGTTCTCAAGTTTCTATTGGCTAAATTGACTTGGGTTATTAGGCTGTGACCCTTAGCATCACAATTTTTCAGAGCCTAGAAGTGCTGATCACTATTTGCTTCCTCATATTCTCTTTCTTCCATGTTTTTACCATATCTTTACACACTTAGCTAAATATGTTTAAATGTTCCAAAAAACCTACCTTGACTCTTGTCATGCACGTACAGCTCCTTGATCCCCAGATCTGACAGAGATTTTTCCAGTGGTAGTGTTTGGCGACTGATGTTGTCCTTCAGAAACAGGACGTGTACAGGGTCTAACTCGCACTTGTCACAAATGACAGGGGTCAAGGCCTCGAGTGGTACCGATGGGTTTACCCTCAATATTGCCTTCTGGGTACCGTGGAAATTCACCATCAAGCGAACAGTTTTCTGATAAAAACATGAATGGGGCAAAGTGCGTTTTAAGACATTATGTTTAACATTAAAGAAAATTAGAGGAAAAGAAAAAACTTGTCACTGCAGAAGAAAAAAGTAACAATGGTTTGAAAAAAAATTTGTCATCTATGAGTCACCAACACATCAATAGTTTTTACATGGAATAGTTTAACTTGTGAAAAAATACCTAGTACCTAATTCTAAAAAGTGGTTACATTCACTTGAGTAATGAGTAACTCAGAGTTGCAGACTTTCTGCTGAGGAAACATTTAGCACATGCATGTGATTCTGATGTATATAACATTAGTACAAAGTGTTCTGTAAAGAAGAGCAAATTTGTCATCTATGAGTCACCAACACCAGCTTCTATAAAAACTAAGTAATGTATTAAATGGCCAAAGTCACAAGTGACTTAGTCACATGTTATGTCACAGTTATGTTTGCTTTGCTTGATGTGTTGCATCATGACCTTAGCTTCTGTTAAGGCCTATAGTAATAAATGTAAATATTGCAGCTGGTTTTCATTTTCTTTGTTTTAGTCAGATACAGTGCATGGAACTATCATTTCAAGTTTTCAATTAGATTCAAATTTAAGTTTTAATCCTTTCAAATGTCATATAGCTAAAGTAAACTGCTTTTTTTGATTGTTATTGTTTCTAACTCTTGAGGTGATTGTACAAAGGGCAGAAGGTTGACCGACAGCACTGTTTGAAACAGTGTCAGCCGCTGGCCTGAGTCCAGGCTGGGTCAAAGAGAGAGAGAGGGAGAGAGAGCAACCAGTGAGCCCTGAGAAGGGCAGAGAAATAATGCATGGTAACTAAAGGTAAGGCACTCATAAAATATTGAAAGTGTAGGAGGAGAATGGAATAGAAGCAGGGACAAGGAAATAGACTAAGAGAATATTTCTTCTTAGATGAAATAACTTCAGCATGAGAAAGAAGCTATACATACAAATATTTTGAGAAGAATGAACAGAGTACACATCAAATGACTGTATAAACACTGAGTCCAACAACATGCTTGGCCAGTGGTTGTACAACTCTGCTCCTACCTTAGCATAAGCCTTTACAGGTTTCACTGGCCTTGCTGTCTGCCAGCAGTGATGAGAAAGAGGTAGATTTGGAAGGGACAAATATTACATAAAGTCTTAAACTGTGTATTATTATTACGGTATTATTCTATACCTTAGGCCTAAGGTAAAGCCCAAGGTTTGGGTAAAACTTGTTACTCAAGTCAGTTGACGAAACTGTCACGGTTTGGTAAAATGAACATGAATATCCAAGTCTCTGCAAATAAAACTTTGCAATATTTAATCTGGTCTTTCAATGTGGTGTGACATGCATTAATGGCATAGACAAAGGATTTGTGAAAAAAAGGAAAACCAATCTGGAATAAGGCTTCACTCACCTCTGGCACTCTTGGTGCTGGTCTGCTCACCACCTTCTCCTCTCGGCCTTTCTCCTTGATGAAAACACAGGCCACATTCAGGGAGCCCAGCAGGGCATTGGGTTTAAAACCCAGAGGGTGGCCCTCGGACGAGAGCAGCTCCAGTGTGTGCAGTGCTGGGTTTAGGTGGTGGCGGCTGCACAGCTCCACCAACAGATCCATCAGCGCCTTGCTGAGAGAGAGAAGGAGGGAGAAGGGAAGGGAGGGAGCAAAAGTGAAAGATGTAGTAGGACAGAGGGTGACAGAGAGTAGTGGAGAGTGTGGGGGAAAAGGAGAGAGTAGATTTTTAGCTCATTTATTGAAAAATCTAAATTGTCAAAACAGACAATAACTGATACACATTTTTAGTTTTCTCTTAATTTAATTTATTAGACCAAGTATTTTATTTATTAAGCAAACATTTAATGTACTGATCAAGTAGATTCGGTTGGTATATTCATGTGCAGAATTGCTGCCTGCTTTTGTGTTTTCTCTTTGTTCTTCATTATCAAAGTAGTGGGACATTTCTGGGTAGGAATTCTTAGAACACTTATCACATGTGAAATCATCAACATTGGGATTATACAGTTTTTATTATTCTGGTGAAAGTGGCCCACAGATTTTGAAATGAAAAAAAAAAAAAAAAAATTGGTTAAAAGATTTAGTTTATTGTGACTTAAACGTCTAGGTTCACTATCAAGACAAATGTATTTGCTGTAAGTAGAAAGAGAATATTTGTTTTATTATCAAGATTTTAACAAAAATATTTTTAAAAAACAGATCGATAACACAAGTGCACTTTGTAAGAAAAAGAATAATCATTGAAAATGATGAGAAATTTGCAAACTGATGGCAAAAATCATGAAGTTTAGAAAAAGAATACACAAAACTAAGTTCTCATTTTGTACGCAACATTTAACATCTTCTCTTTACATCTACTTAGAGTTGGACCACCAGTGTCCCAGTATTTTAGAGACATGACAAGCAAATAATTGCTAATTACTATTAATGTGATTAGATCATGTCCATTGGGCCACAAAGGATTTTGTGAAATCTGCTCAACTGCTTTGCTGGTGTATGTCAAGGCTTGGGAATTTAATGAGGAAACCTATAGTAGTAGCTGTCAATCCTCTGAAAAAAAGAAACCCAGCATCAGTGTCCAACCTTCTCTGGGAACAGCCAGATCAGGTGACAGTGCTGACATAGAAACTACTACAAAGAACATTATTGACAATTACTTTCAAATGGGCACAGTCTACTGGTAAAACCAAACTAAACTATGCTGTCAACACTCAGGGTGACCTGTGCTATTTTTCTTCTCTTAGGTTATCTTTGATAGTGATTTGTTTACTTGGATGAAATTCAGTGTTGTATTTTTTAATTGATAAAAAGTACAAACCTCAACAAAGTCAGTACAAAATATTAGCAAAATTTACCAAGACCAATAAAGTGGAAAGGTTTATGCAGTTTATCAAGTACCATTTTGTAAAAAAAAGAAAGAAATACAACTCTTCAGAATGAACTAACTACATATGAAATTAATTCCCGACAGTCGCCTGTACACACATGCAGATTGTAGATTTTTCTTATCATTTGCCTAGCAACTTTCAGCCAAAGCCAGACCGTATTATTGGAGGTCTAACTAAAGATAGAAACATTGGTTTGATGAAATAGTTTGGTGTCAATGATTAAACCTAGCACTTTATTGGAGTTTATGAAGGTTTTATGTCAAGCAGTCATTTAAAGACACCTTGAAGATTTGTTCCAGAAAACAGTAAAAAAAAAATTACTCCCCCTACATAAGAGAAAGTCCTACAGTGACAGGTCAGGCATAATCTATTCATTCAGTGGAACAAAGTTCCAAGCAGAGAATAGAACCCCTAACAGGGGCCTCCTGACCTGTATCATAAGCAGATCCACAAATGAGGATCACAAATGAATCATCATATCCTAGTGACAGACTGTGGGGCTGACATCAAACAACATCCATCTTGATTTATATTTATATTGTGAAGCAACTAATAAACACCAGATGTGTAAATAAAAAGATAAATGTGTAACTATAGATTGTTTTTTTTTTTTAAACTGTAAACACACAGACATTTCTACACCCTTTCTACAACTAAATATCTCATCATTGAAATGACCCTTTCTACAACTAAATATCTCATCAAGTCTTAAATTTAAATCCTTACCTGCCTTGCTCAGTTACATAAGTCTGATACCCTTGTGGTAGGGTGAGCTTGAAATTCACAGTGGGTTTTAGCATGTTTTCTTTGACATCTGTGCCTGATGAACCTTCCCCATCTGCTTTCCTAAAGATGTGGCGAGAAGAAGGTTGAGGGACCTGTGGTGGTAGTGGAGCACGTCCCTTCATTCTCTTCCTGATAGATGACAAAATAAACAGTATTAATACATTATCATATTTAAAGGTTTTCAGATTTTATTAAATTTAGAGGATCTTGTTTCTATCTTGTGGATTCGTCCCTTGTGTAGACATTTTTAATTCTCTCAGCTTCAGCTATTTGTCACATAAGATTAATGTAATTGATCTGAATGTGTGTAAGAAAATATCTATACACAGAAAGATCACAGTACTATATTGATTTTTTTTATTACAATTAACACTCCAATATTCATGAGTTGATTCATTTCATTTTGCGTCAATTTCTTCTCTAGCAATGTAGATATTTCAATTCCATTGACCTGATGTAACAGAACCGTGTGTTAACTATGCTTTTCTTCTATTAAATGTTTTTTTTTTAAAACTCAATATATCATATTGTTACCCCTGAAAAAAAATCTAAACAGACATTCTGTTATTTCTTATTACCTGAACTCACTATTTTATTTCCATCTTGGTTGTAAATGGTAAACAGAGTTAATTTGTATTTCTTTTGCAGAATCATATATCCAACAATTATTCACATTAATTATCAGAAAGTGTACTTTAAATTACAAACAGTCAAGTCCAGGAACTCTGCTTAAACCCACAGGTCATGGGTGGAGATGCACCGAATGTCAATGACATGCACGAGGTGCTGCTGTCTGCACGTGACCACATTTTTACATAAACTGTAAAGTTCAACACTCACATCTTCTTATCAAAGACAAATACTTATTGTGTGGGACACATTAAAGCACACACTGACACTCACTCTCTTTTCACAGCATAAATATTAGTTGACGATAAGTAAAAAAACAAAAAAACACCTTACTCTTGTCAAATACTGTCCTTGAGCTGATTAAATGTCCAAGAAGAGTAACAAACTGTTCATCAAACTGTGGAGAAATCCAGTTCCAAGGACTGTCATTGTGGGTTTCTTTGAAATATGAATCCCGTCTAGCTTTAAAAGAAAAGACTCTGCAGCAAAGAAAAAGGCATGTGGATAAACACTGAGAGCAGACTCTAATCTGGCTCTGACCTAACCTGTCTTAAGTTAACCATTAACAGCTCCAACAGCTTCGATATCAATTCACTTTTACACACATGACCCTTGTTGTCACTTAACCATTTCTCAATGCAGAGGAAGAGAAATGTTCTTAGCACTATTTCATGGAAACTGACCGAATATAAAGTTGTTTAAGAATGTTACTGCAGTTGTCTTAATATAATTTTTTATGAATTACAAGTATTTCAGATTGTATACTTCACAATAGGACCGTCATCCTTGCTAATTTAGTTTGGATTTCAACAGATATGCAATGACCAAGAAGGCACTGTTGTATACAGTACAGTAGGTGGCACAGTTGTGTGAGAAATGGGGTGTTGTATAGTATGTGTGACAGCTCAAACTACAGTGAGGACACCCAGCCAAAAAAATAAAAAAAAAGTTATCAAACTGACACAATCTCTTTACTTTAAGTAATATATCAATAAAACTAAGGATATAATCAATAGTTAAGAGATTAATAGAACTTAAACTTCCTGCATAAGTCAAGCATAACCAAAGCAGTTAGCTGAATACGGAATGAGCAGAACTGTGACGATAACAGAGTAGTGTATTCCATACTAAGGCACTTAGTCATTAATTTGCTCAAATGATAACAGAACAATATCACGGCAAGTTCGGTTCTTCCCTGATCTAAAAATACCTCCAAACAGCTAACACTGTTGACCTACTTCAAGAATCTACAATGACAATGAGACAGATTTCCAGAAGCAGAACACATGACACTGACTGACAAGTGCACAGCTGGTTGTAGTGCAAAACAATTACAGTAATGGGTCAAGTTCCAGGCCTGATATCAATACTGGTATATTAGTATTGTTATCAATAATTCCAAAGTAAGCATTTTTCTTTTTAGTTTTCTTCCCTTCAGTCTGTGCCTTGGAGGTTTGATAAATTTGAGCCTTTTGAAACTGGAGGACTAGGAGGGAGCCCAGTACAGATTTAACACAGACGGCTGGTATCCTCCTTTCCATCGAAGTTGCTGTTTGTCTCTGCAAAACATTTTCCTCTCCGTTTCCCTCTAACACACATAAACACGCACACACCCCAAGCACATACACACATCCACACACAAAGACTCTTTTAGGAAAGCTTTGCCTAGTCTCCCACAGTTTGAATAAGCAAGAATAGAGTGACAGACAGAGAGGGAGAGGGAGAGAGGGAAGGAAACAGAGAAAGAGTGAGAAAGACAGAGAGAGAGGGAGGAGGGGAGTGAGAAAGTACACTACAGTAGAGAGCAGTAAGTGCTGATCAACTACAGGGGCTTAATTACAGAAGCGATCCTGAACACAAACCTACCTCTGCACAGAGGGGTACTAATGGACCACTCTGAACCACACAGTTAATTTCTCATGGATAAACACCATTGACATGGATGTATATCTTTCACTTAACTGAACTGACACTCACATTAGAATGACAGACAGTACAAATCAAGGCAAAGTGGAAAACAATATGCTGGATTTATTTTAACTACCAAGGTTCCCCCAAAAACCCATGTGGTCTGTGTCAGTCTGTGAGAAACTATAAGTGGAAAACAGAGTGAAGAGAGAGTACCACAGTGAAGTCTACACTTAGAATGAACCAAACTTTTGGAGCCTGCTGGTTAGTGTAATTAAAGGGAGAATACACTAATATTACCTCTTTCTGAACCAGCAGATAACTCACAGTGCTGCCACGTAATTCAGGAAACAATAAACGATAAGTGCAGATGGATGCAGATAACACACTAGAGTTGAGAGTTCTGTGCGCAAGGGTTTGTGTGTATGCATGTCAGACACTACCCATGGCTATGTATGAGACAATATATTTGTATTTTATGAACAAAAAACATATAGTTATTTAAAAAATAAATATATTTAATAAAATAAATAAAATATAAACATATTGTTGGTCCGTACCATTTACCCTTTACTATACTATAGCTATACTGTAACTGATGACTGAACTGTGATCCAATTATTTTATGTCTGTGTGTATTCATGTCATGTCATGACATAGTGTGTGTATTTACTGTACAATTCTAGTGTTGAGGCTCACTCCTGGTCTGACTAACAGATTCAGTTCACTGAGGATATTAGTGGAGACACTTACAATTTAAGGCAGAAGAAAAAAAAAAACATAGAACAACAGTAGTTGAGAACTAAGAATGTCAAACAGTACAACCTGCAACTTTGTAACTTTCCAACAGTAAAACACAAAGGGCTCACTCAAACAACATGCTACTATTCTCTAATGACCACAACCAACTGGGAATAGTGCAGCTTAATTGGACAAAAACATGTTGCCGGCTGACCTACATACACTGATGCGCTTTGTGCATTTTTGAAATATAAAGAGAAGATAAAACTTTAAAGCATTCTTTTGAACAATGATTTAAGAAATACATGTAACAAACAGATTTGTTCTAAAACAGGATATATTAAAACTAATATAACCTATAAGGACATGCATTAAAAACAGAAAATACATTTAATGCACATCGTTGGTTTTAGTGGTTTTACAAATCCTGTAGTCTAGATTTCTTACCAGATGGAATTTTAAAGTGTGTAGTCAAAAAAGTATTTTTAAGTTCTTAAAAGGCAGTGACATTTGTCAAGTGCATTTCAATCCCTGAGCAAAAAAAAGCATCCTGAAGGTTTTAAAGGGTGCCAGAGATGTACCCAATAGGCAAAAGAAAATAAGGATACCCCCTAAAGAATTACCTGAATTTGCATATGCTTTGTGTAACTGCACAGTATGCAAAAATACTCAATCCAATTATAGTTTCAAGACATGGAGTAATGTGGAAAGAAGTAATAATCATCAAGTCAAATCATCAAAAGAACTGAACCGAAGCACCACTTAAAGAAAGCACTCAGCCACTGATGTGTGAACACTTAAAAATGCACTAAGATCTCCCATCATCTGTGGCACACTCAAATTTTCCTCTCCTATTGCGCATTGGACAGAAGAGGAAGGACACACATCCTGGAACTTCCTCTGCCACTCCCTCACACCCTCACACTCTAATGCGTGTGCACACACACACACAAACAAAGCATACCCTTTGGCTGTCATGGTGTCCCCATAGCAACCTATATTTACACCACTTGACTGCAGACCTTAGTTTAGTAGCAGCTGTGGGTTTTGTATTCATTCACATAAGGGTGGGTGACCCAAGGAAAAAGAAAGAGAAACACTTAGAGACAAAGACAAGACAGAGCAATAATCTTCCTAAAGTGTGTACACAGAACAGAGAAGATGAATGTCTTGTTGAAAAGTCTTGTTTTGATTTTTTGATTCTACAAATCCTGAAAACTACCAGTTTTATGTATCTAAACAACTTTTATCTGCCATGGTTCCCATCTATTACTTACCATATGAGCTATATTTAGGCAAACACTGTTTTCTCCTATGTTTCTACCTTGTCAAAGTTTAAGTGACTGAAACCAAAATTCACTATTTGGTTAAAAAGCATGCACATAAATTATTAAGCAATAGTAAGAGGAGGTGTCATGTCTAAATAATTAGAACCAAGCTTCGCACAATCTGTAACAGTAACAACCTATGGGAGATAAAAAGACACCTCAGGTGCTGAATGAATTGTTTCTCCCTGGGATCAATTAAGTAGCTTACAGGCTTTACACGTATTTAAAGGTTTTCCTACCAAGTTATACTGCAGTGACCTAAGGTTGAGTAAGAGACCAGTCAACAGGGAGTATCTGTTTCACACCTACTTAATGGTGTGCAGTAAGACAAATCCACTCACCGTAAAAGCACTCCACAATCTCAGTCCTTCTTGTCTCCTCTGTTCAATTTCACCACTGTGCATAAGTGTCACTTCTGGCAAGTGGTGCATAACCACCTTGTCAAAATTTCCATAGAGTATAACAAATATCGATAAAAATAACAATAATAGAAGACTGGAGATATGACTTTTCCTACTGTCT